CCCATATTTTAGCCCATGACCTCTGATTCAGCCATGAGTGTAATATTCAGGACTAAGCTTGCCATCACCCATAGACTATAATGTGAAGCTTTTAGCAGAACAAGGGCAGCCGAAACAGATTTTGTAAGAATCCAGCCAGTTTGTTTATTACAGTCTCAATATATAATGAGAGAACAATGCTTGAGTGACAGTGAAATTTAGTGTATGTTCACTCACAAATAAGTTTCACTGTGTTTGACAGAATCTACTGCCAAGTCAGCGTCTACTGGATTATAGCTTAAAATTCCCTATGGTTTTATCTTCAAACAAAATAAGCAACCTAGGTTTATTACTCATTAGACAAAAATAATCCCACTTGCTAAAACTATCTTCTTCTAATAGAATAGATGTGGACAGAAAGAGAACATGATAGATTCTCAAACGATGGATTTTTTTCTCCAAGGAAGTCCCTATAAACCACCTCAAGATGGCCATTCTTGAGAAAAATAGCTACAAAGGCAGGTTTCCTCTTGAAACAGTGTACTAGAAGTCAACAAATTCTTCCATTCTGTTCCCCATGGATTAAATGGAGCCAAAGGACATTTATCACACTACATTAATCAGCTCACCAAGCAAGAAAGTCTATGCTATACTCACAACTGCTATCTCCTACATTTCATGAACTTATTTTTATACCTCCTGTCATCCCATACCATAGACAACATTCCATGCTACAGCTAATGTAGATGGTGATCCAAGAAATCTTGGTAGATATAAATCTAACAAACAACCCCCCCCCCCGACAATAAATTCCAGTTTGGTAACCATGTTAAGTCTATAGCAGCAAAAGCAAAATAATTATCGTGCATTTTTAAATTAAATTTCAAGATATCACAGGTGTCTTTATTTGTTTGAAGTCAGTAGAACCTGATGATCACAAAAAGTTCAGCTGCAACAGGAAATCCTTTATAATTCTTCCTCCCTGAAATAAGATGAGCCTCTATGGAAAAGGGCTTAGAGAGTCGCAACCCGCAGTTCAATGAGACCAGTGTTTCTCAACCTTGGCAGCTTTCAGGTGTGTGGACTTCATCTGAAAGCTGCCAAGGTTGAGGAATACTGAGTGAGACCACTACACAGCTTCAGCAGATCCTAACTGAAAGTAATTTCACCTAGCTCCTAAAATGCTATCCAGCTTTAATTAATTCAAATTAATTAATTGTATATACCTCTGGGAACAATGCAAGTAATTTTCCAATTATGCCCATCACATGAACCTAACCTCTTACACCTAGATAGTATTGACTGTAACATATGGCCCCACAATCAATGTTTGGTTTGGGCCATGTGGCAATGAACAACTAACCCCTTAAACTATGACCTGATGGGCAGGATAACCTTAGGGAATCCAGGGAGGAAAATACTTTTGCCTTACAGATTACTATTCATTTCTCCCACCAAGCCTGGCACTTTGAACAGCAATTGTAAAAAAAAAAAATTAGTCTGAAGCTAAGCAAATTCTCCTGGGATTTTAATCTTCAGATACGCCTGAAAAGCTATTGCTTTGCTATCTGTGCTCTCATATTTTCTTGATGTTTCTGGATATGATAACATAAAGATTTCAGCAGGCAGGTATCATTATTTGACATTACAGCTGATATGAATCTGGACACAGTCAACCAGATTGTGGCTTGATTTATTTTATTATCTATTCTGTTTGTAGTGGCCTGATTTATCCTATTAAAATTAGCAATTTTAGAGACACTCAAGAGGAAAATGTGAAAGCCAGGAAAAGAAAACAAATGGGATTGGTAAACATGGTCAGGAGATTCCTTGCTGGGAACTGCACAATCTGAGATTAAGAACAGACCTAAAATGCTACCCAGGACTATGTGTGGTTAGATTTAAGAGCATACTTCAGGCCTGTATCAGCCGGGCTGGCCAGGTCAGGAAACAGACACTACAAGAACTACTGGAACTGCACTTTATTGTTAAAGGTTATAATAACATAATCTTGAAACCCAGACAAAGATTCTCTTTCCCCACTCTTATACCAAAGAGGATCAAGGCTGGTCAATCTTGAGTTTCTTTTTCACTCCCTCCTACCTTTCTAGTGTCTATCTGCTGCTGAATTCCTTCTTCAAGGCCAACTAAATACTCCTCTACAGCCAGGTTTTTGGGATTGGTCTATCAGCTTTCTTTGTCTGAATTATTTGGGGGGGGCGGGGGGTTTAAGCACTGAAAAAAATTGTAATGGTTCTCTGAGGATTTATTCAGTTTAGTTGTGCTTTCTCTCTCTTTGGATTTCACTATAATTTTCATGCGCTTCTTGCCTCCAAAGCAAAAAAAAAAAAAGCAAACTGCTAAAATTTGTTGGGATGGCTGAAGAGCCAACATTGGACTACCTGTTTTAAATTAAAAATGGTATATAAATATAGCACATAAATAAAGCTTACAGAAATCCAAACAATATATTATCTTACCATATACAAGTCCTTGCAGATGCCTAAGTACTTTCCATTGCCACAGCCAATATCTGCCACGACAGCTCCATGTGGCAAGCCTTTAAGGAATTCAACTACTTGTGGCCATGGACTATGTCTGGTGTTGCTGAAATGTATAGCAATGTCTTCATACACTTCGTGGACATACTTCTGCTCTAGCATGGAGGCATCTTTGTCACTGTTGTGAAATGAGGGTGCCATCTCTTTATGCTGACTGTCACATATGGAAGGATAAGCTGGGGGAGTGGGGGAGAAGAAAGGTAAAGATATGTTTATTTTTAATGGGATTGCTCAGTTTTGACCCAGAACAGTAATTTTTTATTGTATCTCCTTAATGAAGAGAATATAGAAAGTTGCAAATTGAACTGCCAATTTCAATGTCAATTTTTTATTGCAAATTTCATTACAGGTAGCCCTTGGTTAACAACAGCAGTTGGGACCAGCATTTCCATTGCTAAGCGATGCAGTTGTAAAGCGCACGTCACATGATTGCGCTGCTTTGCAGTGGAAATTTTGGTACTTCCAGTTGCCATCGTTAAGCAAATCCTGCACCACTGTTATGTGAGGAAGCCACACGGTCACCATTTGCAACTTCCTGCTGGCTTCCTACAGACTTCCCACTGACTTTGCTTGTAGGAAGCCAGCAAAGTAGGTTGTAAAATGGTGATCACATGACCGCAGGACACTGCAACCGATGTAAGTACAAAGACCAGTTGTAACTACCGCTTATTCAGTGCTGTCGTAAATTTGAATGGTTGCTGAATAAGTGGTCATTAAGCGAGGACCACTTGTAGTTCAACAATAAGAATGCCAGCCCCTCAGTCTGTTGCTTATGAAGTGATCTTCCTCTTAAATTGGAAAATTTGACAAGTTCAAAAGGTATTCATCACTTTAGACTGGGACATTATGAAACAGGATTAGAGTAGGCAACGCACCTGTAGATTTCTCTCTTGGCAGCTAACAAACTTCCTGCCCCATGTAATACTTTTTTGTAAGTTAAAAGAAATATTTATTAGCCAATGGGTTAAAATCTTTGTATTTGCCTCTGAACCTCAAATAGACCTCTTAGGCATTCTTAGAAAATGAAGATATTGCAGGACACACAAATCTAGGAGACTAAGAGGCAATTAGGGAATAATCTCATTAGATTGTTATTCTGGTAAATTGGTAATGCAATTGACCATACCATTTAGGGAAAGTGCTTATAACATGCTCCCAAAATTGGAAATATGCCTAGTCCCTGCTATAAGACTATCAGCAATTTACTGGGCACAGAGTACTGCTATGGAAATCCCACTCCAGGAATGATACACAGTAAATGGTATAGTCAGGATCCAATCTATCCCAAGCATTTCTCTATTAATATAGTAGCAAATAAAAGAGTCAAGCTGGTGGCTGGTGACATTCACACATTCTTCCTGGCATCAGTATGGATGGAGGTTGTCACTGCTTTCTTCAAGAATATTTTTTCAACTTCCCAGCCTAGCCTACAACTCTAGTATCTTCTGTTGGTTCCCTGTCCCAGGAGCAGACAGATCCAACCTTGCTTAGCCTGTTTCAGAATGACCAAAGTCAATTAGGTGCTGCCATCTACTGGACACTTGTATGTTGCAGCTTTCTAACTCCTCCCTTCTACTTCCAGGTCCCTGTAATCTTATAATGTCTTAGAGCCTTCTGGAATGACCTTTCTAGAGACATAAAAGGGTTTAATTTGAAGAGAAACCCCTTCTCTAAGAGCCCAGAGAATCTCCTCTGCCTGCCTGTTCATTTTCTCTGAATCCTGGCACTTAAAAATGTCAATATTAATCATAGTTTAGTTACCTAAGCACCCATGTTTAAAAAAAGCTTGATTAGAAAAAAGGTTAATGGGATAATGGGATTTTTTATTTGCTGCATTTTGTCCAGGATTTTTAGACCAAGAATCCTGGGTTGCTTAAAACAGAAGAAGGAAGAGAGAAGGGCACAATGAAGGCAAACAAATTTTTCTTAGCTTTTTGCAACCTGGTACTCAACCAGCCATGTTAGGATTGAAGCACCCAGAATTCCTAGTCAGCATATACAAAGCCATTCAACAAAAACAGAATTATGTAGGGGAAAAAACCCTTTATTGTCTAGGCTAATGCTTATGTATAATGACACCATAGTGACAACAGTCTTAATGGGCCAGAGTCTACACAGTATATTTCAACATAAGCCATTCATTTCCATACAAAATTCTTCATCAGTAGCCTAATGTACCATCACAAAAATAAACATAAGAAATCTGGCTGTGAAACTCATGTACATGATTTGAAAAAGGAAAACAAAGCTATTATCTTGAGACACTTGTTACAAGTGACCGTGCTAAACAGACTGATTTTTTTTTACATTCATATAGCATCCGTTTAACTTCTATAATAGGAAGTTAGTATGCTGGAAAACAAAGCACCAGCCTACAGCCTCATCTTTATTTCTTGGAAAATAGAAACAATGGATAGTTGGCTTTCCAAATTTCTTTGTTAGAATGTACCATCTGCACAGAAAAAGTGGCAGGGGTAGTAGAAACCTTCTGGGGGCAACAGATAAGTAGAGTGGGGTTTGGTAACTGAGTACTTCCTCCAGGCAGCTGCTCACCCCAGAACCTTTCTTCGAGAACATTCACAATATATTCTCTTTATTAGAGAGGTTAAGGTGCTGAAACCAGAAGACCATGTGCTCTAGTCCTCCCTTAGGCATGGAAGCTGGCTATGGGACTCTGGACCTGGCACTCTCTTTTAGACTAACCCATCTCACAAGGTTGCTGTTGTGAGGAAAATAGGAGGCAGGAGCATTATGTACACCACCTCAAGTTGTACAAATAAAAACAAGATATAAATCTAATAATAAACAAATATTCTCATAACTCCAAATGGGTCCACCAGGACAAAAAAAGTAAGGACCCTCGTGGTAAGAACTAATAAAATAGAAAAGTTTTCTAGTTCTCCAGAACTTTTCACCAAGCAAGAGATAAATGGAGAACCTTTCCTAAAATTAGGCTAGGGGTTATATACAGGATATATGCATTTTAGATCTAATATCAAGGTATTGAATTAATCACAATTAACCATTGCTGGTATCAACATCATGGAACAAACCCTTCTCAGTCGCAGTGCCTACCCTATGGAATAGCATCCCCACCCCCCACCCCCTGCATAGATCTATATGGTCCCAATCCTCTTGGCCTTTCATAAGGCATTAAAGATCTTGATGTTCAGCTGCTGGGAGCTTAAACCAGCCCTGTTGGTGGATCTGTCTTGTTTTTGTCCTCACTGATTGACAAGGGAATGACTTTTCGGTCCTGGGCCTATGTTATATTAGTATTGCTCTCGTTGGCTATTATTTTGGATAGCGATTTTAATAATTATGTTGTTTTATTTTAACCCTCTGCACACTGCCTAGAGTCACTATTGTGAGATGAGTGACTATATAAATTGTTTACAGAAATAAATAGCATATCTATCTCTATTGGAGTAGAGATAAGATGTAACTCACAAGCAAACAAAACCAGCCAAGTCTTGATTCAGTATAAATTCTATGATTAGAGATGGGTTCAATTGTTTGTTTGGGTTTTTTTGTCAAATTCTCCAATGGGAACATTTAATTACTGTTTTCAAAAGATAAAATGATTACTGAAAATTGCACTGTTTTTAAAAAGATTCCCATCAAAAGATGTTTAAATTGCATACAGCACTTACAGCAGCAACAAGGGTTTCTCTTTACTTTCCGGAAAGTGAAAGATACTCTTTTCCCCCTTTTGTTTAAGGTTAAATTTCTGATGTCGGCAGTGATGCTTCCGATTTTCTCTCCTTCTGATGCTTGAACAACGTCAAATTTCCTTGGTGTAATGCTTTAAAATAAAACAGAGGTCAGGGTTTCCCTCCCCTTTTTTAAATGTCAGATTTTGACACACGTATGTTTTAACCTAGATTTTGAAAAGTCTGTGAAATACTGAAGCATGTATATGAACATCTAGGACAATTTCAGCAAAGACAGAATCTTCTTCATCTGCCACTGAATTCTTCCTTCTAATGAACTCACAAGCACAAGGTAGTGAGTGTCAAAGGACAGTAGCTCAAACAAGGACAGTGGGAAACAAGAGGGAAGGTTAGCTAGATAAAGCACTCCATGACAAAACCTCTGATCCAATTTGTATACAGAAATAGCCAAAAAATGCCCTTATTATCCCATTATAAAGACAAAATAGCAAATAGTTTGGATTCAGACCTTCAGAGCTTGAAAGTCAATAGAGGAAAAATATTACAACAAAAGGGATGTGCAAAACTCACTAATTCAAGAAAAAACGTTCTGGAGAACTTCAGAATCTGTTCCTGAATCTGTGAGTTCTCCATATCCCTGTATAACAATAAAATATTTAACTCAAGTAAAATAAATAATAAGTTAATTAAAAACATGCAGTAATAACAAGTACCACTAACAGAGATACGTATAATACTGTATATGGAAAGAAGTGAACATAACCAAAGGAGAATACAAGATCATCTCCAGAAATGGTAGGAAGTCTGCCAAAAAAAGCTAAAGCTCTGAATACACGATTATCTCCAGCTGAGGCTTGCAAGAGATACCAAAAATAATAAAGATGTATTATTTGGGTATGTTAGAAATAGAAGGAAAGCTAAAAAGAGTATAAGGAGGAGAAAGAACTGCAGAACTTCTTAACTCATATTTTGCATCTATCTTCTCAGAAGAAAGACAGAGCCCTAGCAGTTCAGGGTTATGCCACTGAAGGAGGGAACTGCACCTTAAAATTGACAAGGAACATACAGTATAGGAGAGAAATCAGCTAATTGAAATGAATTTAAGTAGAACTGGAAGGATTATATCCCAGGATAGTGAAAGAGATCATCACATCACTCTTGAGATCTCAATCTTTGGGATCTCCTGGAAGACTGGTGAAGTCCCAAAAGACAGGAGGAAAGCAAATCTCATTCCCATCTTCAAAAAGGTAAAGGAGGAAGATCTCGGAAACAACAGATCTGTCTGTCTGATATCTATACTGGGCAAAATCTTCAAAGACATCAAGCAGCACATTTATGAAGAATTGGATAAGCATGCTGCAATTAACAGGAGTAAGAATGGGTTTTGTCACAAAGAAATCATTCTGGACTAATCTTATCTCCTTTAATAGAGATAAGATTAGCTTAATAGATCAGGAAAGGACTGAGAATATACCAGCACAGCCTTTGACAGAGTGCTTCATGATACTCTCCTTCATCATATGGTAAAATATGGGCTAAATGATACTACTGCTGAATGGACTCATATTAGATGTTATGGTGTTATAATATATATTGTGTATAAAAGTATATGTATTATATAATAATACTTATTTCACCACCTGAAGAAGGTCAAAAAAGCCAGGGACATTTCAGGAGACAGCATTAAGGGGCAACATGGTTCCATAATTTTTACCATCATTTTTTTAATTGTTGTACACCACCCAGAGTCACCTTGTGTGAGATGGGCAGCTATATAAATACAATAAATAAATAATAACAAAAAAGCTTTGACAGGATAATTCCCCAGAGCACTGGAGCCTTAGATTCTGGAAGACTTGGAAGATGAACCATTCTAAAGGGGTTTTTTTTTTTTAGGGAGAATCTGCTAAGGCCAATATAAACCTCATAAGGAATGGTCTGACTATGACAAGAAGCCATAGAAATCCCCAGACACAGATCCTGTTCTCTCTCTCCTTTCAACAGGTCTAATGTATGTCCAGAAACATATTGGTGTCAATGGTGGCCTGAGGGTACACTGTAGTTGCGCTATTGCCAAAGGAGGCCTTAGTGTCAATGTTGATGTCTCCTAGAACCTTCATCTAAACTTCCTCATCTGTGTATGGGCCCTGAGACCAGGCCATGATACTCCCTGTGCCTGAAATTTCTTCAGTAAAGAATCTCTCCCTCTCTCTCAAGTAATAATAAACCTGTCTGACAATCAATGACATGACAAACAAGCACACAGACATACAGATAAAACCAAATAAGGAGACAGGTGTGCTGTTGCCTTCCTTAAAAAGCAAAACACTTGCAAAGACATTCCTGCCAGTACCATTCTTGCTCCTGCAGAGCAGATCCAGAGTCAAAAGAAGAGTCAAAAAAAGGAGGGCAGGCAGAAAAACTAGATGTCTCTAGGATCAGAAGAAAGATTTCTATATCGCAGCACTCTCCCCAGTGAGGTCCCTCATAAGTAAAGCAATTCTGAGAGCACACAACAAATCAAAGGTCAACCTAATTGTCCAGGTGGTTCTACTTTTCTTCCCGACAACAGTTGTGTTGCCAAATCTGCTATGTACTCAGACAAAATGTTTTGTTGTTTTGCCTTAGATTCACTGATTTTAAATTTCTTTTTTTTTCTATTTTCTAGGGTTCTCTTTGATCCTGTTTAGTACAGAGCTTGTTTCTCTTTATTATATAGCTTTTTTCAAACGATGCATTTTTTTAATATAATAAAAATAAAAAGGCTTCCCTCATAGGTATATGTAGTATTCACTTTTCAGAAGATTTCTTTTCCATGTTTTATTCTCTCTCTATCTCTCATGCATGCATGCATATGCACACATCATACTGAATAGCAAATAATCCATGAGCTCAGGAGAGGACCATGAAAAGAAGGCAATCTTCAGAGGACAGTATAAAGAAGATGATGTAGCATGAGGCAAGCAGCAAAAAGCTGTTTACAAAAGCATCTACCTCTTATTGAAGATGGCAGGAAAGGGGGAATACTGAATAGTTAGGGTAATCCTGCTTGATACAGCCACCTTAAGCGGGATCTGCCTCTGGGAACAAGCATTGCTCTCCAAAGACCAGTCTGCACTGAAAAATCCTCAGAATTCCAATCTTCAAAGTGATCAGCATTTCATTCCCAGCAAGATAAGCTTTCTGTCTGTTATTGACTTCTGTGCTGGAAACCTGAGTTTAACCTTGTCAAATGAGCTACAGCAAGGCAAAAAATATTATTGGTGAGCAAATAATTGGTGACTGTAATTGGTGAGCAAAGCAACACCAAATACAAATGCACCTGTATGCAAACTTCCTAAAATAAAATAAATAAAATAAAATAAAATAAAATGGGCATAACTGACCAAACTGATGAACGTTTTATGTACATTACTAGATTTCAATGAGATCTACTGCATTCCAGGTTCACAGTCTTTACTAAGCCACAAAGTGGTTAGTTTGTTTTAGTTTGGTATGATGTGTGGACCAGTTAAAAAAAAAGTTGAAGCCCAGATTTTTTTTGTTGGTTTGCAAATCATGGCTTGTTTTTAAATGCAGTTTGCCAGAATCATAATTTCTAGCCTGTTTTTATGCTCCACTCTTTTCTGGATACAGGCTGACAAAAATAAACAAACCAAAAACCCAAGGATCTGACCAAATAAACCATGATTACTTTTCTCATTTGCAATACCTACTTCATGGTACCCTCCTAGTTCAGTGTTACATATGAATGCAGTATAGTCTGCTTTATTCCTCTAGCCCACTATTCTTAACCTGGTGTCTTTAAATGTGTCAGAACTATAACTCCAAAATTCCCAGCCAGCATGGCCCTTCACACCTGGAAAGTACTAACTGAGGGAGGCTGCTTTAACTGTATCAGTTTCCTACTTCTTAAGGTTTCCAGGAACTACTAACATATCCTGCTCCCTCTAGCAATTCTTTCTGCTTCCCTCTGAGATCCAGGTGCTGAACTGATTAATACGTTCAACTAGGTTGAAGGAGTTTCAAATTCAAATCATTCATCTGCCATAAAGCTTTGTACATGATTAAAGGCCAGTCATGACCTCACAGAGTTCAAGTGAAGATGAAATGTACATCTCAAATGTAAAGCTTTTGGAGGAAGGGTAGGGTTAAGAAATGTCATAAATCATAAATATCTGCAACTTTATCCACGTGGTATCACTGCTGGTTTTCCTCCTCAACAAACAAACAAGTCCTCTATGACATCTTTGAATTAATTCTTTAGTTGTCCATTAAACAGAAAACTGAGCTTAATATGTATAAGCCCTCTTCCTTCATAATCACTCTCCCACTCAATCAAAATTCAGATTATAGGTACCTTAAGGTGGTGACTTGTCTCTTATACATATTACTAACAGGATAAATAGGCTATTTATATTACTGACTGCTAACAAAAAATAAAGGAAGGCTCACCATAATACACTGTCAATTTATAATTTGACTGCAAGGTAAGTATCAGTTCTTACCCATGAGTCCAGAGGTATCTGGATTCTCCAGACATCACTAGCAAACTACGTTGAGGCAGCATAACTGCAGCTGTACGTCCATCAGGATGTTTAAAATCCATAACAATCTGCAGAAAAGGGATGAAATCCACAATTATTTCTTGTCATTAAAAGTTATCAAGATGTGTACTTGCAAGATGCAAAATTTACCATTCAGATCATGTGGTGAGAGACACACCACACTCCTCACTTTAAGATGGTTTTATAATGGAATTTGACAAATGCACAGAAGACAAAGTTCTCCAAGAATTCCTAGTTACAGTGATCAGAGAAAGTGTCTTCCAATCCTAGCTACAGGAAGCATTTCTGAGTGCATTTACATACATATGCGGGTGTGCACATATACACAGAGATGAAATTATGTCCCCAAATAAACACCTACCTCATCTGTGTACACACAGAGCACAGCTGTACAGCAACCTGATTTGGGGAAGGGTGATGCAGAGAGGACATGGGTGAGCATATTTTTAAGTCAAATATGTCTTCAAAGGGTTGCAGACTACTGTAACATGAACACCTTTTCTCTTTCAAATCTAAGTTGCTGCATTGTACTGTTGCATCAAAAGACAGAGACAGCAGTTTCACTCCCCTTCCTTGGGAGGAATAGACAAGCCTTGGGGTAGTCTTTTCTTCCATGAAACAGGAGCAAAATAGCTAGGTTTTCCTTCCATCTGTGGTGTTGCTCCCTAGGTTGGGAGAAACAGTTAATAAGAATACGAACATTCTACTTATTGACCATCTCCCTTTTCCTTCTAGTGAATGTCAATCTCCTGCTGTTCTGCCAGATTATTTGACTGATAGACAGTCTGGAACCCTATAGGAACATAGAAGCCACAGCAGCCTACACTGACAGCTTCCACAGATTACTTGAGGCCCAAGTACTATACACCCCAGCATGAGAGGAAATTGTAGGTCTGATGACTGCAGCTTATCCATAGCAGATGCCATAAGAGCAATGTTTCCCCAAAAACACACCATGCCCTTTCTGCATCCTATCAGATTTAAATAAGTTAATGGACCTGACAGACACACTGGTATCCACATGAGCAGGGATCGTCCCAGCATTTCATTGCAAAGGAATCCTTACTGTATGCTAAGCACATTTCCCAGCTTGAAGCATTACACATGCTTTGGTGCTTCAGCGCTGGGGCAGCTGCTGTAAAAACATTTCCAGGTCTCAGGATGATGACACATATTTACTACCTGGTTAGCAAGAAGAAAAAAGAAAAAGAATCGTGGCAAATGACAGAATTTAGCTAACCCTGGCTGATTCTGAAAAGGCTAAGCATGGTCAGACCTAGTTAATACCTGGACCGGAGACTGGTGAGATCATATCTGGAATACTGAGCACGATTGTGGATGCCACATGTCCACAAGTATACTGACAGGTTAGAGGATTCAGAGGATGGCAGTGATGATACAAGAACCTGAGGGCATGCCCTATGAGGATGAGGAAGGAACTTGGGATGTTCAGTCTGGAGAAAAGAAGACTGAAGGGAGACATGATAGCCATGTTCAGGTACACAAAGGGAGGCTACAGGAAGATGTCAAGAACTATTTTCCATGGCCACAGAAACTAGGGCCAAAGTAACAGGTTTAAGTTGCAATTGCCTAGATTTCATTTAAATATAAGAAAAAGCTTTATGATGTCAGATCTATATAACAATGGAACAGTCTACTTGTAGAGGTTGTAGGCTCTCCATCTTTGGAGGTTTTTAAGAAGAGGATAGATAGCCATCTCTCACTGATGGTTTAACTGGTTTTCCTGCACACTGCAGAAGGTTAAACAAAATTATCCTTGTGGTCCTTTCCAACTTTACAAGCCTACAGTCCAAAGCTTTCAGAGGATGTAAGTGGTCCTGAGACCTCAAGTTGTATATTCTTGACCTAAAACAACATTTTATTTTTTTTTCTTTAACCCCCCCACCCCCACCCCTTTTAAACACTTTTTAAATATCTGGCTGAAAATCAGCATTTGCAACTTCTACATTCATCTTCAAAGAACGTCTGCTGCTAATTTATCGTCATCACCTTGAGTCAATATGGAAAAGTCCTGATCCCATTCACTATTGAAAATCAGATGCCAAAGGAGACAGAGATGACCTTGTTGTGCCTCTTTGTAATCTTTTTTTGTTCAACCAGAGAACTGCAAGTTGCCACTTCTTTGTTTCATTCCCTCACACGTCCATAGATACAAAGGAAAAGAATGAGGCCTATTAGATGCCTGGCCCTCTTTTTAATTCCCTAAAGGTTCCCAATCAATAGCACTACTTCTGCCACTGCTGAATCAATCCATCTCATGACAGGTTCCCTCCACTGGAGCTATTTCCAATTACTATTTTTGTTCCTATCCATTTTCTTTATTCCCAGAGGTGGCAAAGTCAATAAAGATCAAATTTCTACCTTGCCCATAATGCATCATCAGAGACTGCAGTCAATAATAATAATTTTTTAAAAAAGAAAAAGCAGGGGGAAGAGTAAGATGCTCAATGTGTTGATCTCACACAATCCTTTGCCATCTTTTTTTGCAACTATAAGTAGAGGGAGAGACACACATGAAGCTAATAATATCATTCTGCAGGGAAAACATGACGCTGGAGCCAATGTTTGTGACGAGGGACTCTGTGATGGGGTCTTTCAGAGATGCTCAGACAACTAAGCCACCACTTGCATTTTCAATGCTATTCCTGCTGCATAAGACACAGCCCAAATAATGCAAGCAAAGTGTGAGCATATGTTGGGGGAGGCACTTCAAAGACAAGAACAGAGGGAGCAAGAGGCATTTCTTAAAGGTATGAAAGTTCTGCAAGGCTGCTTGCTCAGAGACGAAATTAAATTTGGTGAGCCACAGAAGAGACAGCAAAGAAATAATTGTTAAAGAGGCTATATAAAGTGAGTCATTGTTTAATGATGTTCACAGTCACTGTAATGTTAGCACAGAGAATAAGCGATACAATGCCCTTAAAAAAAGAATATAAACACCTTGCAAAAGAAATCCTTTAAATGGACCAAATTCTGGGAGACGTTGCAATATCCCATCATCTAGATTATGCTCAAATGCTTCCAAACTCCTGCAACAAGAGTTTGTAAAAAAGCAAGGGAAGACCTCAATACAGTAACGCTGAACTGAATTTTTCAAGTGTTGAAATAGAGCCTGATTCTCACCCCTGCCCCATACACACTTACATGCACGCATACACACTTCTTCCTCCCTGCACAAACACTGAAAGAAAAAATAAGCCAGACTAGGAATAACCATAAAGAGAGTCAATGTGGTGTAGTTATTATGTGGTTGAACTAGGATTGGGGAGGCCCAAATTCAAGTTCACCCTAGCCATGAAAGCTCACTAGATGACTATGGGCCAGTTATTCTCTCTCAGCAAAACCTTTGGTCACCTAATGCGAAGAGAGGACTCTTTGGAAAAGACCTCGATGCTGGGAAAGATTGAAGGCAAAAGGAGAAGAGGACGGCAGAGGATGAGATGGTTAGATAGCATCACTGATGCAATGAGCATGAAACTGTGATGATATAGGGAGGCAGTGAATGAATGGAAGGCTTGGCGACATAGTG